ACATGGTGAGTTTTAGATGCCTGTAAGACATCAGAGAGAAAGAGAGAGATTTGGTTAAAAACTGAGAACCATAAACAAGACTCTTGTGGATGACAAACCACCCCACCCTCTTGGGGTCTTCCTCATGCAATAATGTATGGCTTATTTTTTTTACAAAACACTACAGACCCACATTTGATTGAGCATCCATGGGTGTGTAAACAGTTTTCCAAGAGGCACTGATGGATTTGAACCCTCATACGCAATTGTAAAGTTTAGGATCTTGGCAGCTGCAGAGAGTTTTCAAAATCCAAATAGAGAGTCTTTGTCCTTGGCCTCCTCAGCCCCTTGACCTTCTCTCCCCTAATGATCTCCCTACAACTCAGTCATGCATACACCCACCTCAGCATTGTACTTAAAGACACTGTCTTCTCACCCACCTGTCGCTCTCATCTTATATCCATCTCGTATCTCCTTCCAGCCCCCTCTATTTATCATGGGACAAAACCACCAAGAGTCCCTCTGTTCTCACCTAAAATTAACCCTCTACTCCCCTTATAATTTGTTTGAAGACATTTTGCACATCACAAATATATGATCTATACATATGTCCCCTTCAGATACATTCAGCCATAGTCAAGATATAATTTAATTAAGCTACTTAACAACAACAAAATTGCTACTTTCTTATTAGAGCCTAATAAATAAAAGTTCATGTGTTTATTCTGTTTGTTTTGTAAGCACTTACAGGTCATTTGAGAAAAACTAGGAACTTTTAAAAACTCTAAACCCTGACAATTTTATTTCCCATAAGAGACTAAACCTAAACTGGTAACTACAATGAAGTCCTCTACAATGTTTGAAATTGAAAGCATTATCCCTTTTGTAGACATGCACTTGCTAGGTCACAAATCTATCAAACTTAAAAAGCCCAAAGTAACTCCAGTAACATACTCAGTGCCCAGATTTTTGTTTCTCCCAAAAAAGAACCAAACGGTGTTAGAGAAATGGTTGATTACAGGGCTGAGACTTTCAACGCTGGAACAGTTTGAGCAGCAAATTAAATAACAACCCATAAAATTACAAATATCCATTAATCCATACTGATACAAGTAGTTGAATAAATAAATGGGGAAGAAGAATTCTAATTAGTAAACATAGAAGAAATGAGAAAAAAAATGTTTAATCACTACTAGAACAATATAGTACACGGGTGCCTGGGTGGCTCAGCTGGTTAAGAGTTCAAGGGTAGTGATCTCACAGCTGTGAGATAGAGCCCCGCATCCGGCTTCCGCACTCAGCAGAGTCTGCTCCAGATTCTCTCTCTTCTCCTTCTGTCCCTCTCCACTCATGCTCTCTCTCTCTCAATAAATAAATAAAAATTTTCTTTTTTAAGATTTTGTTTGAGAGAGAGCATGAGCAGGGGAGGGGTAGACAGAGAGTTAGAAGCAGACCCCTTCCTGTCCAGAGAGCCCCATGTAGTGCTCTATCCCAGGACCCCAGGACTATAACCTGAGCCGAATGCAGATGCTTAACCAACTGAGCCACCCAGGCGCCCCTAAATAAAATCATTTAAAAAATAAATATAAAGAACAATCTAGTACAATGTACATCAAGTTCCACCAATGGATACTAAAATCAGTGAATAAAAGTTTAAAAGGAGAAACAGGATATTTGTACAGCCCAAGTTCCTCTCCTAAGATATCTAATTACAAAGAGAAAATTAACTTTCCCCTGAGACCTGGCAAACAACATTAACCAAGGTTTACATCACAGTAAGATATCATGTGCCTAGACATGAGACCCTGAAATTCCTTCCAGTATTTTTTTCCAAGATGCATAACTTCAGTCTAATCATGGGAAAATATCAAAGTACAAGAGGAAAAGTCTACAAAATAACTGACCAGTATTCCTCACAAGTTCACAGACTAGATCCTGAACAGAAAAAAAGGATAGTAAATAAATAAATAAATAAATAAATAAATAAATAAATAAATATAGTGAAAAGCCAGTGAAATCCAAGTAAGTCTACAGTTTTGATAACAGTATTATAATATCGTACCAATGTTAATCAGTTTTGACAGTTTCACTATAGTCATACAAGATGTTATGGGGAACTCTCTATACCATATTTTTCTGCAACTTTTCAGGAAGCCTAAAAATTATTTCAAAACAACAAGTTAAAATCAGTAATGAAAGAACCCCGATATTTTTTCAATATTTATATTGGAAGCATAATGTCAGACTTAAAATGCCATCTTTGGGGTACCTGGGTGGCAGTCAATTGAGCGACTCTTGGTTTTAGCTCAAGTCATGATCTCAGGGTCATGAGACCCAGCCCCGAGTTGGGCTCTGCGCTCAGCACAGAATCAGCTTGACATTCTCTCTTCTTCTGCCACTCCTGGTTGTGCTCTCTTGCACTCTTTCTGTCTCTCAAATAAATTTTTTAAAAGATTTGTTTATTTATTTATGAGAGACACAGAGAGAGCCAAAGACACAGGCAGAGGGAGAAGCTCCATGCAGGGAGCCCAACGTGGGACTCGATCCCAGGACCCCGGGATCACGCCCTGGGCCAAAGGCAGTCACAACCTCTGAGCCACCCAGGCGTCCCTCAAATAAATTTTTTAGTGCCATCTGTGTTCTTGAAAACTTCATCAAGAATTCTAACCCCAGTCACATTCTGAAATGCATTCAATGCATTCTGAAAAGCATTTGTTTTGTAAAGAATAACACATCAATAACAGCTTTTCTTGCTACCCTAGCATATTTATGATAAGCTAAAATTCAAAGGATATGAGAGTTAGGAGATCCTCCTAAAAAGTAAGCTTTTTAAGGGCTATCTCTACTACACTGAGAAAGAAGAGCAGGAAGCTTACCTTTGTAAACTGTTCTCCAGAAGTTATTTGCCCCTCTTCCAGAGATAGGTGGAAATAGTGGAGGGAGAAAAACATGGCAATTTGCTTTTTTGTTGAAAAATTCAAACCACTTCAATTTGCCTCTGGGTTAGGGTGGCACTCCAAGAGGCGGAAGGAATACATCTCCCCTGGGGAGTGGGGGGAGATATGTATCTACCTATGAGGTCAGAACACAATGGGTGGCCTGCATAGCCCCGGGGAACAGAATTCTAATTTTACCCTTCCAGATAACTCGAAGAACTGAATACCAAGAACTGAATACCAACGGCAAGACAGAGAACTAACTAATGCTACCTGGCCCTAAGTACTAACCTCCAGGCAGCTCCAGTCCAAAGAGTAATACGATTATTTCAGTTGCAAACCCAGAGATTGGGCTAGTGATCAGCAAAGTGCAAGAAACCTCAGTCAATGGGGTTTCAGCCCTTGCCAAGATTTCATGCCACCCTTCTATAAAAACAAAATTTCTTCACTGAAATCATGATGAGGACAGTACTTTTGCTCTACTCACACCCACCCACATGGATTTAAACAACCATTACACTACTAACTTCCCATGTTAGGATTCTCTGAATGAATATTTATCTCTATAAATAAGCTAAGGGTGTGGCTCAAAAATTAGATATGCACTTTCTATAACAGTCTCTCAGTGAAGCAGAATATCTGCTTCAAAAAACTGTGGTGGGGGCTACCATGGGAAGGGGTAAGTAACTACTGGTAGGTTCTGAGGGGAGAGGAGGAGGAAAAGTGATGGTTCCTCAAGCTGTGCTTTAAGCAGGTGAGCCGTGGGATATGTGAGCTCTGTCTCATAAAGCTGTGCCGGAGGGTAAAAATGAAGCCCAAACCATCAAGACACTTTATCACTACTGGTTCACAACCTACAGTGAATTGGGAACTGATATGTCAAAGGATAAACTTTAGCTTCCTTCCAAGGGAGAACTATATAACCTATACCCTATGGAGACAATATCATTCGGGTTCTTTAACTTTCACTAAAAAAAAAAATCTCAACCCTAACCTATTACTCCAGTAAGCAACACAGATTCAGCCTTCCCTCTTGATATAACCTTTAACTGCTGCAAAACTTCTATCAGCTCCTGACAGAGAGAAGTACAGGCTATCTAAAGAGCATTAAGTCTAACTAACCATCTATAAAAGCTAGATTTGTCCCTGAATAAACCCCAAACCATCAAACAGCAGCATGTGTGACAATAGGGTCTCAGCATCAACGACTTTCTAACAACCGTCAGGGTAAAGAAAATTGCAACTAGAGCAATGCATCCTAGAAAATGCACTACTGCAGGCACGATCTGGGTGAGCACACACACAGGATGCTCTCCCACTACCATTTTACAGTCTCTTCTGCATCTTTTGTAAATGTCAGAAAAGGCTTTTCCATGGAGCTGGTACGTTTCCCCCTTCATCCTCATTGAATTATGTGACTAATCATCCTTTTTTATTATGGCTTCCAGGATGCAACTTTAATTTGCACAGCATCAGTCCAAGTCCATTTGAATGTGCTTCCCTCAACCTTTGGCTGTTTTCTTATTTACCACTTGGAACACTTACACTCACCTCAAATGTTCCATGGACGCTTAATAAAAACAAATGCAGAAATAGACTTTGGCTCTAAGTGTATTATTTTAATAGCTTCTTAATACAAAAGAATATGTCTCCTAAGGGAGCTCTTGCTGAACAAACATAACCAATACACATTGTTACTATAAATCTCTTTTTTTTCCCCCAAAAGTGGAACTAGCCTTTGTATTTCCACCATTAGGCAAGAAAATAAAACTAGGCAACATTACAGTTATTTCTGTAACTGCTAAATTCACAATCTAATTTTTTTTGGTCTTGTATTTTTCTGTATACAGATACTGCTCTAATACTGTTCTAACTTCTTCACTACTATTTTTAAGAAGTATTGTAATAAGCTGGTTAATTTTTTGAAGTCGATCATTATATGATGGCCTGCTATCCACAAAAAAACTTACAAAGGGGCAATAACCTTTTAGCAAGCCATCCAAAGCGGTGGACAAAAATTTATGTCCTGGAGATGAGAAAAAGACATAAAATATATTAGTCAATCCCTTTTTGTGTTTAAAGTACCAATATTGGGCAACCTTGGCGGCTCAGCGGTTTAGCGTCACCTTCGGCCCAGGGCGCGATCCTGGAGACCCGGGGTCGAGTTCCACGTCGGGCTCCCTGCGTGGAGCCTGCTTCTCCCTCTGCCTGTGCCTCTGCCTGCCTCTTTCTCTCCTCTCTGTGTATTCTCATGAATAGACACATAAAATCTTTGGGGAAAAAAAAAAAAGTACCAATATTAACAAATTTCTCTCCTACCTCGAAGTAACTTCCATGCTCGATAAGTTTTTAACCGTCTAATCACAACTTCCGTTTCCTACTTTTGGAGAAAGGCAAGAGTTTCAGCAACTGGTTCTTAACACACACCAGCAGACACAGAATCGGTTTGCTCCAAGGCACTGATTTCTAAAAGCCAGATCTGCGTTCTCGACTTGGGAGTTCACACACGTTCCCACATCAAACTGGGAGGGACTAACTAACACCTGGTCGCCTCCACTCAAGTTTTCTATTCTCTATTCTCGTGTAGCAAATGCCCGTGCAATTAGCCCCCGGCCTCCCGAAGGGTCTCCGCCGTTTACTCACGCGGCTCACCAGAGGTCCAGCCTCCCCGAGGTCTCGATCTCGGAGTCCGAGTGCTCAGAGGCAGGGCGCGTACACTCACTTATATAGAGCGGCGCTGACTCAGCCGGGCCTGCGGGGCACCCTCTGAGGAAGCCGCTCCTCGCGATGGCCTCGAGCATCCGGACGGCGCTCCCTAACCCCGGAGAGCGCTTCCAAAGCCTCCCTGGCGCCTTTCCCGGCTGCTTCCGCGCGGTGCGCCCGATCTCCGCCGGGGCCGGGACTCCCTCGGGCCTCCCGCGCGCTCGGGCCTGGGGACGGGGCTGCGCGCGGCCCGGCCGCCCACCGTGTCGGCGCTGCGGGGGTCGGCGCCCGCCCGGGGCAGGGCGAGGGCCGCGGCTCCCGGGGTCCCAGCCCGCCCGGCCGCCACCAAGCGCCCTGCGCCTGCAGCCGCGCGCGGACGGACGGGGCTGGCACGGCTCGCGGGGCAGCGGGTCCCACCCCCACCTCCGGCCGGCCCCAGGCCGCGGAGGTGACTGGCCCCTGGGGCAGAGGCACAAGCCCAAAACGCCGCCTCCCGGGCTTGCTCGGAACGAGGGCGACAGAGGTGATTAATCCCGGTAATCACAGGTCGCCACCCAGGCTGCTCAGCCCCCGCTCTGGTCACTGTGCCCCGCGCCCTGAGCCCCGGGGGACGCTGACACCCAGCGGTTGGCCGCTTGGTTTTGTTTTCCTGTCACAGGTACGTCTGTACCGAATGCGCGTCTGAGACCGGGGAGTACGCCCCAGCTCAGTAGATGCAGGAGCTGAATCCTGAATCCAAGGGGCCCTGCGAGGGGGAAGTTGAATGGAAATATTACTGTGCGGGCCGCCCGGGGGCTCAGCGGTTTAGGGCCGCCTTCGGCCGAGGGCGTGGCCCTGGGGTCCCGGGATCGAGTCCCGCGTCGGGCTCCCGGCATGGAGCCTGCTTCTCGCTCTGCCTGGGTCTCTGCCTCTGTGTGTGTGTGTGTGTGTGTGTGTGTGTGTGTGTGTGTGTGTGTCAGGAATAAATAAATAAAATCTAAGAAAGAAAGAAGAAAGGAAGGAAGGAAAGAAAGAAAGAAAGAAAGAAAGAAAGAAAGAAAGAAAGAAAGAAAGAAAAAGGGAGGGAGGGAGGAAGGAAGGAAAGAAAGAAGAAAGAAAAGAAGAAAAAAGAAAGAAAGAAAGAAAGAAAGAAAGAAAGAAAGAAAGAAAGAAAGAAAAGAAGGGAGGGAGGAAGGAAGGAAAGAAAGAAAGAAAGGAAAGAAAAAAAGAAAGAAAGAAAGAAAGAAAGAAAGAAAGAAAGAAAGAAGAAAGAAAAGGGAGGGAGGAAGGAAGGAAAGAAGAAAGAAAGAAAGAAGAAAGAAAGAAAGAAAGAAAGAAAGAAAAGAAAGAAAGAAAGAAAGAAAGAAAGAAAGAAGAGGGAGGGAGGGAGGGAAGGAAGGAAGAAAGAAAGAAAGAAAGAAAGAAAAGAAAGAAAGAAAGAAAGAAAGAAAGAAAGAAAGAAAAGAAGGGAGGGAGGAAGGAAGGAAGGAAAGAAAGAAAGAAAGAAAGAAAGAAAGAAAGAAAGAAGAAAGAAAAGAAGGGAGGGAGGAAGGAAGGAAAGAAGAAAGAAAAGAAGAAAAAAGAAAGAAAGAAAGAAAAGAAGGGAGGGAGGAAGGAAGGAAAGAAAAGAAAGAAAGAAAGAAAGAAAGAAAGAAAGAAAGAAAGAAAAGAAAGAAGAAAGAAAAGAAGGGAGGGAGGAAGGAAGGAAAGAAGAAAGAAAAGAAAGAAAGAAAGAAAGAAAGAAAGAAAGAAAGAAAGAAAGAAAGAAAGAAAGAAAGAAAGAAAAAGAAAATATTACTGTGAACGGTTTAATTGTATTCTGCACTCCCTATAATAAATCCCTCTCTGCAGTACTGTTCGGGTGGAAAAGCTGGGAAGTGTGCATATTCAAGAAAAGGTGTGGTTATCAGGCCTTAGGAGTGTGTATGGCTTTCCCAACATTTGACTCTGGGAAATTAGTACTTGGATCTATTTTGTAGTTTGCACTTACTAGCAAAAATCAAACTATTTAAAGCAACACTAGAAATTACTGTTAATTCGTAACTCCCTGCAAGAAATCTTTCATCACGGAGCATCTCGCAGGCTTAGTATACAGTGTGTGACCCTTGATTTCAGGGTCATGAGTTCAAGCCCTATGTTGGGTGTGGAACCTACCTTAAAACAGAAGTTTTAGCCAGGAAGCCTAAATAAGAAATTAATTATGCACAATCCTTTTAGAATATTTAAAGTACCATACTGCATACTTTTAAAGGATTTTATTTATTTTATTTTATTTTTTAAAGATTTTATCTATTTTTCATGAGAGACACACACACAGAGAGAGGCAGAGACACAGAGGGAAAAGCAGGCTCCATGCAGGGAGCCCGACATGGGACTCGATCCCGGGACTCCAGGATCACACCCTGAGCCAGTCAGACTCTCAACCGCTGAGCCACCCAGGCGTCCCCCTTTTAGAGGATTTTAAAGTACGTATCCAGGATGTGCCCAAACACATGGTTTTTTGGATTAGAGTCCATTTAAAGACACTTAAACACTCGTATACAAATATATTTATCACTTTAGCCAAGACTGAGAAAAACTTTTCAGAGATGGCTCTTAATAACTGTTTGCAAAATTTAAAAGCACCACCCAAAGAACAAAACTTTACTGTTATCAGTAAAGATTTTTTAATTTGCCAGCAAATTCTGAGGGCAATTCCAAGATGGAACTTATAAAAATGTAAAAATATACACATAAAATTGATAAAAACAGAATGATAAACTGAATATAGCATTCTGCGATTATGTAAAATGAAAACAAATCTAAAACTTAGAAAATAGCTGGCAATACAAGAAAATGTTAGTTTTCTGGGCTGTGACATTATGGTTCTTTTTTTTCTTCTATTTTAGTGTAATTTTCTAAATTTGTTTTAGTGCAGATATACAACTTTTATATTGGAAAAAAGAATTGTGTTTAAAAGTAAATCAATAAAATGTCAGTGTTTTAGTCAGGAACACATACATATAAAGACACACGACAATACTTAAAGACATAGCTTCACCTAAAATAGGGTTAAAAATCACTAAAACAAACAAAACTTTCTACCTTGTCTTTAGCCTAATTTTTAAGAATTTGATTTTTCCATACTGTATATGCTAGCTAAAGTTACGTTAATTCTTAATCTCACTCTAATTCTCTGAAACCGATGATCGCCATCAAATTCTGTTTAATAAAAGATTAAAGCCAGCATTTCATAAATGTACTGCATTGTTAAGGAGTCTAAAATGATTCTAAGTTAGGGTTTTATTTTGGGCTAATCATTTTTTTTTTAAGATTTTATTTATTTGTTCATGAGAGACACACACAGAGAGAGAGGCAGAGACACAGGCAGAGGGAGAGCCTGACGTGGGACTTGATCCTGCGTCTCCAGGATCAGGCCCTGGGCCAAAGGCAGCGCTAAACCGCTGAGCCACCCTGGCTGCCCGGGCTAATCATTTTCAAATGTCCTGTCCTCTCTTTTAGTGTTTGGATGTTTCAGGTCACAATATAGTGAGGGAGGAATCTAAAGATGACCTTGCTAATTTACAGATGAGTCACCCGGTACAAAGGAAAACAGTTTGACAAGGTCAAAAGTTAGAGGGGTGCATAGGGGAACTCACAGCTTCTGAGACTGCTGCTCTCTGTCCTCTGTCTCATAACCTCTTTTATATTGCCAGAAAAGAGTAACTGCCCAGTGTTGGTAGAGCCCCATAGATTCCCACTGATTGTGTTATTCTGGCATTTATTTTTCTCTCATTGTAATACCAAGCAAGATGAAAATAAAAATGACTTGTAACCCAGCAACCACATCCTACCTGCTTTTAGTTTCTTTCTGTGCATACGTATTTTCTCTAAAAATAAAAATGGGCTTATATGCAATTAGTACAGCGATAAAATGCATCATCTGGGGACGCCTGGGTGGCCCAGCGGTTGAGCATCTGCCTTTGGCTCAGGGCGTGATCCCGGAGTCCCTGGATCCCACATCGGGCTCCCTGCATGGAGCCTGCTTCTCCCTCTGCCTGTATCTCTGCCTCTCTCTCTCTCTCTCTCTGTCTCTGTCTCTCATGAATAAATAAATAAAACTTTAAAAAGCGTCATCTGTAGAGTCAGATAACCTGCATCTATATCCTGGTTCTCCCAAACCCTGGAGATTTGCACTTGTACTACTTATTTGGTCTTTAGTGTTATTGGTAATCAGGGGAAACAATCTCTCAGGATAGTTAGAAAGATTGATTGAAATAATGTGTATAAAACCCTGAACAGAATTATTAACACCGGTTAGCACTCAAAAATCGGTAACTATAATTATTTTGTAAACTGCTCCATTGTAAACTACAAACATGGTTCCCCTGTCATTCAGTATATTTCTATAACTTTAAAATGAATAGTTGCATGGTGTATTCCATTGTTTGTTATGTACCATAATTAATTTAACTAGTCTTCCTATTATTCGCAAAACATCCTTGTAGCATGTCATTGCACACATCCAGATAAATTCTAGAAGGGGCATTGCTCAGGCAATAGATATTGCACATTTAAAAATTTTTAATACAAAAAAAAAAAAAAACCAACAAAACAAAACTGTTAATACGTATAACCAGATTTCCCATAAAATCATTCATGCCAAATTCAGTATTCCAACAATTTAAAAGGTTGCTTGTTTACCTGAGCTCTCACAACTACTGGATAGAATAATAATTTTAATCTTTTTAAATTTGATAGATGACAAATGGCAGTGTTTTAATTTACATCTCTTTGACTTAGAGTAAACTTTTTTTTTTTTTTTATGATAGTCACACAGAGAGAGAGAGAGACAGAGACACAGGCAGAGGGAGAAGCAGGCTCCATACACTGGGAGCCCGAAGTGGGATTCGATCCCGGATCTCCAGGATCGCGCCCTGGGCCAAAGGCAGGCGCTAAACCACTGCGCCACCCAGGGTTCCCTAGAGTAAACTTTTTAATGTTTAATGATCATTTGTGGTTTATTCGTAAATTTTCTATGTAAGGCCTTTTCCCATTTCCCTCTATTGATTTCTTAGGTTGCAGAACAAGTAAACAGAAGGAGTCTGAATCTTTGATAAGTATTGATCGACTAGGCTTTCTTTAAGGTAGCTGAAGTCACTGTTTTGTCATATTTTATGAGCCTTGCAATCAAACCACAGAATTATCAAAATTAGGATTTCATTTCAATCCTAATAGAAAGTGTTGGGGCCATCTGGAGTCCACACCTATAAACATACACTGAAGATCTTAAATGGGCACTGGCAGGGGTGAGGTGTCACCAGGTGCTTTTGTAGGCAGTATGTATGGACAAAAACAGACAAACAGGGAAACCGA